ATCGTTGTTACTGTTGATATTTTAGCTCAGTTGACTAACGAGTTTGCCCGCCCACTGTATTAAAGCAAGTAATGCGTTTGGCAGATTAGTGCTGTAAGGGAGCCGGAGGCCGAATATTCGAGAAAGGGATTTGGTTCTCCATTATGAAGGTGAAATAGAATAATGACCTTACCTACTTTTTAGAATACTATTTGGAAGACAAAGAGTGAAAGGTGGGTTAGAAAAGGAGAAAGACTAGAGGCAGGTTAGAAGCCAGTACTGAACACTTCCAGGAGATTAGGGAGGGCTTGAATTTGGGGGTGGGCATACAGGGGGCAGGCACAGGGATAAAATCAGGAGGGCACCAGGAGGGGGCCCTGGAAGGAGTCCGTGGTTTGTGCAGCGGAGGAAGGCGGGTAAGGACACAACTCCCTGCTGACTCCCGCCTGCCAGGCGCGTCCCACACATACTTCCTCTAGGGATCTTCGCCAACGTACAAATTGGGAAATTCTACAACTAAATAGCCATCCCGCAGATTTCTTTCCCGTATGGGTTCATTTTAACATTTGAAAACCGGGCCTGAGATTTGCAACATATTAAACTGTCTCACACGGGCAAACCAGGCTCAGAACTTTCCTTACACCAGCAGAGACTTGGGGGCTGAAGGCGGAGGGACTACAGGGCAAAAAAGAAAAAAAAAAAAAAGGATGAACCCGAGCTTTTGAAGATATCACCTATTTTTCAGGTTGCCTGGAGTTGGCCACAGAACTCCTTCCCTTGCGGGCCCGGGGAGCAGCGGTGGAAGATGGCTTGGTCCTCCGCTCCTAACCGCCTCCGTGAGGAGGTGAACGCTACCTCCTTTCCACTACCCGTCCCCAGCCTCTGGCCCTTTCCTCCTAGTCATTTCCGACCCGTTCCCACCTTCCCTGAAAGCATCACTTCGCTCCGCCCTTCCTCCCTCCTCACCTTAACCCCTTTCTCCAAAAACCCCAACTCCAGTGCGTGGAGTTAGTTAACTACGGCACGCGGGGGTGTGGAACTGCATCCTGGGACAAGTAGTCTCAGCCCAAAGAAAGCAGTGGAAACTACAACTCCCAGAAGACACTTCCGTTTCCTCCTCTTCCTCCATGAGGCCCCCTTTTTAAGACTCTCTTAGCCACGTCCCCTATAGGAGACAAGCCTTTTAAAGACATTTTAAGTTGTTTAAACCTACTATCTCTAGAGTCTAGCATTCTGGAGGTTAAAATGAGAAATAAGCCCGGCCTAGAACGAGAAGAAATGAGGTCCACGAGCTAGTCTGGCATGTGACTAGACAGCCGCGGTGATAGCAGTCAGGCATTTGGTGTGGTCGCCTAAGAGGTGGGGCCTGCGGCGGCGGCGGCCCCGGGAACCGTGTGGGCCTGCGCGGCGTTCTTCCTTTCCGATCCGCCATCTGCGGTGAGTGTGTGCTTCTCGTCGGCTCCCTGGCCGGCGGCCTACCGGCCTTCCCCTCTTGTGTCCCCAGGTGTAACCCGTCTCTTCCTTCTCCTCCCCCTCAGGTGGGGTCGCCGCCAAGATGCAGATTTTCGTGAAAACCCTCACGGGGAAGACCATCACTCTCGAGGTGCGGGCCAGGTGGCGTGAGGGAGCCGAGGCCTGAGGGAGGCCCGGAGGTGGATCTCGGACCGCGCTGCTTTAGAGCGTGTTCCCGAGTCCGGGTTCTGAAACCTGACCCTGAGTTGAGAGCCGTTTGCCGAGCAGGGCAGGGGTCTGGGCAGCTTTTGCACGTGTAAAGGCTCGGCCCTCACCTCGGTGGTGCCGGCCCGCGGACCCAGGCGGGGGTCCCGGCAGGGGCGGGAGGCGCTCGGGCCCGGCGGCCGAGCACGTGTGGCGCCGCCGCCGCCCCCGCGGGCCTTAGGACGTGCTCGCCGGATGCGGTCCTGGGGGGTGGCCTGTCCGCCGGGTGAGGGACCAGCTCTTGGGGAGGCTGCAGCCCCCCGCCCCGCTCGGCTCACTCGAATGGGGCGTTTATTCCTGTTTCTTCCTGTCTTACCATTACCTTTGCATTTTAAAACTCTTAGGTTGAACCCTCGGATACGATAGAAAATGTCAAGGCCAAGATCCAGGATAAGGAAGGCAAGTGCTATTTTCTAGTTTCAGAAACTGTAACCTCCGGGGGCCTCGGCAGCCCGGCGCTTGGGTGGGGGGTGGGGGGGGGGTCAGGTGGGGTCAGTGAAATCGTGGGAAATGACGGGAAGACGAACGTTTCTGAGCAGGGAACCGAGCTGCAGTGCAGTCCACTGAGTGTGCATTTGGCCGAGCTGTTTAATTCTTTACGCCCGTCTCCTCGTCTGCACATGAAGGTGATGTTAGCGTGTGTAGGTTAAGTACCGCCAGCGATCACATGAGGTCACATTAGTGAGCCTTGAAGCCAGCCTGCATGGCCGGCAGTGAGAACTCAGGGCTGCTGGTGCCATTGATTCAGGATGATTATTACTTCGTAAATCTTGAGCAGAGGCTGGTTCTGCCGGGACCTAATTTGTTGGTGTTTTGTTTTGTTTTTCATTAGGAATTCCTCCTGATCAGCAAAGACTGATCTTTGCTGGCAAGCAACTGGAAGACGGACGCACTTTGTCTGACTACAACATTCAAAAGGTCTGTTAGAAAGAGCGGCCCTTTAAGTATAAGCCTTAGAATTTCTGACAGATCCCTAATGCTAAGACTAGCTTTCGATGACTCAGCTTTCCCAGGTAGCTCCTACCTGAACATTTAGGAAGCACTGCTCTAGGTTCTCGCGGTCGTGTCCCCTGGAGTAGGTTGGTGCTTTAACCTCCCTGTGCACTAGCTAAGAATCAGACTCTCCCCCCAAGGCTCCCTATTGCATCTCATTAGAGGATGTGTGGTGCTGGCTTCCCATCCTTGGTGGAGCATGAGCGTGAATGCGATTGTTTTAAAGCTTGCTTCATGCTGCTGCCTTAACAGGAGTCCACGCTTCATCTTGTGTTGAGACTTCGTGGTGGTGCCAAGAAAAGGAAGAAGAAGTCGTACACCACTCCCAAGAAGAACAAGCATAAGAGAAAGAAGGTCAAGCTGGCTGTCCTGAAGTACTACAAAGTGAGCCAATTTATTAATAAGTTTTTGCCTATAGGTTAATAAATTGTGTTTGTATCTCTGGTTTCAAACTCCTAGTATAAAATTTCTTTTCCTGTTTAATTTAGATAATGGGGATTAGTTTTAGCTGCTTGTTCCAAACGAGGGTTTTGATTTTGAAGTCAGATCTGGGTTCAGGTCTAGCTTAGTCTATCACTTGCAGGGTTTGATTTGAATGAGCTCTGAACTTGTTTGGTGTAGTAATTATCTGTGAGGGTTTGGGATGCTTTGGGTTTGTAAGTACTAAAAACTACCCTTGTGTGACTAAAAAGACGTATTTTGATTCACTTAAAATAGACTTCAAAATATGTTGTAAGATTATCTAACAGCAGGTTTGTGCTTTTTAGGTGGATGAGAATGGCAAAATCAGTCGCCTTCGTCGGGAGTGCCCTTCAGATGAATGTGGTGCTGGAGTTTTTATGGCCAGCCACTTTGACAGACATTATTGTGGCAAATGTTGTCTGACCTATTGCTTCAACAAACCAGAAGACAAGTAATTGTATTTGGGTTAATAAAAGACATGAACTAACATTTGATTGTTGAATTTTATTCCAGTGAATTTTTTTAAGCATCAAAAGTTGATGGATCAAATTGATAAACTATACCTTGGCAGAAGAATTCCATTATATTTAAGTAGAGGCCCAGGTGGGGGGGTCCCTCAGCCTGGCCTGCACCCTCTCCGATCTGGGACCACGGGCTCCTAACCGCTCACCACCTGCCTGCCTGCCCGATAGCCCCTAACTGCCCTACACTGCCAGCCTGATCACCCCTAACCGCCTCAGCCCCCGCCACCATGGCTTTGTCCAGATGGATGTCTAGATGTCAGGTATCAGCTCTTTAGATAATAAACCAGTTTGTGTTTGTCAGTTTTTCTTTTTTACCTTAGTACTATGACCAGATAATTTGGGGGGTGCTGCTTTGTGCATCTCTGGCTTCAATCCATTTGATGCCAGTAGCACTCCATCTCCATTACCACAACCGAAAGTGTATGTAGGCATTCCCACATAACCCCTGGGTGAGTGAGAACCACCTCCCCCAATTGAGAAACACTTGATTTGTGGGTTGGTGTTAAAACACTGCCTTAAAAAGGGGCTATGATAGATCTTGTACATGGGAAATTTAAAAGGCTGAGCTGCAAATTGACAATTCAAAAATTCATCCTGAGTTCCTAGGTGGTTTGGCTGGGATGTTTGCTGTCTGCAGAACTAGGGAATACACTACCTTCAATGTTGGGCATGAACTCGAAATCAAACTGCTTATTAGTCCAGTTGGCACTGAGAAATGTGATTTCAAGCAGTATTTGATTGGTACTATATCTTATCCTTGAAGCTCAATTCAGAGAGGATTGTTTCTTTTGGTAACACTCTTAAGTAAAAACATTCATTTGAAGTTACCTTCAGTGATATTCCAGTAATTCCCTTTTACTGTATTAACACCGGGATTTCTAGTTGAAGGCATCCTTAAGTTTTCCTATTTTGACAGAATTGCTTGGGCACTTACCAGTAGTGAATTCTACCCTCCAATAAAGCAAAACTAGTTCTATTAAAAAGCAAAATATTTAATCTTTATATTTTTAATACAATTTTAAAATCCTGGATCCCAAGAGGTCTTGGCTAGAACTTCATTTTCTTCATAACAAACAATTCTATCTCCCACTTTGAATTCTATCATTTCTTCATCCAAACTGAGACCACAATCCATTCCAGTTTTGATGACTGAAACGTCATCTTTGTGGTGTTTCAGGGAGGTTAATGAGCCTTTAAAAAAAAGAAATAAAACATGGTTCATACATTCAACAAATAATAGGCACTTCACTAAGTGCCATGTAGTCTGGTGTTAGGATTTGAGTGAGATAAACCAAGATAAAAGATTGCAAGCAGAATCAAGAAAGGATGGAAGCAAGCAAATAGGATGCAGAGTAGAGGCAACATGACTGGAAAGGTAGTTGTGTGGTTTTTTTTAGAAGTTTAAAAAATCAGACTGGGGGACTAACAATCGGAATCAGACCAAATGAGGGAGGGAATCCAGCAAGAAGTAAAAGATTTCAGGCAGTTACAGAGAATTGTCAGGTTTTAGTGACTGGATATGTTATCAAAACAGATTTTGATGTTGCTTACCCTTCCAAATAATATCTCCATTACGGATTAATTTAAATTTTTTTTGCTTTTCTAGCTGTCCTTTTTGGACTCTGCAGCCAGCCACAGGAACTTTTTTCTTCCCTTCTGTTATGGAAAAGGTAGCTAGTATAGAAGCCTCACCTGTAGGAAGAAGAGAACATTAAGTACAGAAAGTAAAAATTTCAGAAAAATACGTAATTTCTAACATTTTTTAAAGTAAGAAAGATGATAAAAATACAAACTCGTGCAAAGAAATCCTGGTTTTCTTTGACTCCGCCAACTTTATTTTCCTGACCAATATTAGAAATAAAACCCAGAAAATTCTTGGGAAAGAAAATACAAGTGCTTACCAAAAGAGTGAATAAAAGAAAAATGGGACTCCTTTTTTTGGCTGAGTAAAATGCACTAGAAGGTGATAACTGATGATAAGATTATTTAGTACAATTCCTGTCTAGATCTTCATGAAAACATAGTTGTCAGCTGTCCCTCGATATATTTTCTAGTCTATGTCATCTAGATCACCTGATTTACTTTTAATATCATCACTGGTCATTTATATACTAATTCTGTGATTTAGCTTAACTTTTTCACTAACTGAAAACTAAATTCCAATAATACATGAATGAATTTTTTAGGATTAGGGTTATTTGGTGCTTGCTTACTGCTAGGAACCCTCATAACTTAGTTTTACAAATTGCTCTTAGCACAAGAACATACAAACCTCTGTATGATCATGTTTAATTGGTGAACTGTGTAAAGGGTATATAGGAGAGAGCTCCCTATACTTTTCCTGTAATTTTTCTGGGTATTTAAAACTACCATCAAAATAAAAAGTGTAAAATATCTGTATATGGGGAGGAAAGAACACGTAAAATGATTCAGTCATCATGAATTTAGCCTTTAATCTGCCCAAGGAGTATGCTAGAGAATCTTTTTAATATTTAATATTTAAATGTGAAGTACATTTTTTTCTCATGGTTGATGTCTCTGCCAGCTCCAGGACAAAATCAATGGCTCCTTCATGACACCTTAATAATCTTTATGCCTCCCACCCTAGTCTAATTTGTTTCATAATTAGCTGTCCATGTCTAAACTTGAGGGCAAGTTCTTTTTGCCTTACGTGCCTTGTATCCTCAGGGCCCAAGTTTTTCAGAGGACAAGCGTTTATAACACCTATGAAGTTACTTTGAATTCCCATGTGTGGTATTCATTTTTTCTAGAACACAGGATATGTATTAGAACAGTGAACATTTCAACAGTAAAATACATTTCCCCTAAACTTTACTTTCAAGTGTCATTTACAGCACTTCAGATATGAATGTCTAAAAGTAACAGTCAGTGAACACTCACCTACTGTGTGCTCTTCCACAGTGCAGGGCAATCTGCTGCTCAGTTCTTCCTGCAAATCTTCAACAAGACGGTAAATGATTTTGTGAAGTTTAATTTTTACTCCTTTCTTTGCAGCTGACTCCTGGATAACTTTGCCTGCGTTCACATTGAAGCCATATATAACACCTGGCAATCAGAAATATAATCAATAAAATAGCACAACTATTGTACAAAACAGTGTGTCTTTTGAATAGAAACTCAAATCTAAATTGTTTTATTTCCTTCTATGTAATTAAAAGCTAGTTGGGGAGAGAAGAAATTCTATAATTTTTTTTCTCATGAAAACTAGTAAATTTTCAAATTAATAAAAGGACTTTATAAATTCTACTAGAGGCCCGGTGCACGAAATACATGCACTCGGGAGGGGTGGGGCAGTTCCTCAGCCCAGATTGCACCCTCTCCTAGTCCGGGAGCCCTCAGGGGATGTCCAACTGACGCTGGAATGGGCCTAAGTTGGCAGTTGGACATCCTTAGTGCTGTTGCAGAAGCAGGAAAGGCTCCAACCACCCCCGCTGCGCTCGCCAGCTGTGAGCCCGGCTCAGGTTTTCTGGCTGAGTGGCGCTCCCCCTGTGGGAGCGCACTGACAACCAAGGGGCAGCTCCTGCATCTGCCCCCTGGTGGTCAGTGCATGTCATAGTGACTAGTTGTTCTGCAGTTTTGACGATTTGCATATTAGCCTTTTATTATATAGGATTGTGGCTTAACAAGGAAAATTTCTTTATTGTTTTAAAAATCCATCCGTTCATCTAAGAAACATTATTTTAAGTGCCATAATGTGTAGGCAGCATGCTAAACAAAGCTTTGATTTTTATAACCAGGGATATAAGAAAAAAAAAATGGGTTGAAATATACATTATTTTTTATAACAACTCTATTATTATAATCTTATTGTCCACAACTTTTGCGATTTATTTACTCTTAGGATTTTAGCTGCTCAAAAATACTTAATTGGTAAAGTTCAAAAGTTATTTAAGAAATGAAAGAAGTTCTATGAAGCTGTACATTTTGCCAAATTAAAATTAAAGTATTGCCCTGACCGGTTTGGCTCAGTGTATAGAGCGTCGGCCTGCGGACTGAAGGGTCCCGGGTTCGATTCCGGCCAAGGGCATGTGCCTTGGTTGCGGGCACATCCCCAGTGGGGGGTGTGCAGGAGGCAGCTGATCAATGTTTCTCTCTCATTGATGTTTCTGACTCTCTGTTCCTCTCCCTTCTCTGTAAAAAATCAATAAAATATATTTAAAAAATAATAAATAAAATTAAAGTATTTAACCTTGGGGGAAAAAAGCAAAACAAAAACCTTGGGGGAAAATCTTACATGAAAAAAAGTTAATGCAAACAGCTTAAAAGCAAAACAACCACCTTGAGAGTTTCATCATTAAGAAAGCATTCAAGCCCTGGCCAGTTTGGCTCAGTGGATAGAGCGTCGACCCGTGGACTGAAGGGTCCCAGGTTCGATTCTGGCCAAGGGCATGTACCTTGGTTGCGGGCACATACCCAGTAGGGAGTGTGCAGGAGGCAGCTGATCGATGTTTCTCTCTCTCATTGATGTTTCTAACTCTCTATCCCTCTCCCTTCCTCTCTGTAAAAAATCAATAAAATATATTAAAAAAAAAAAAAAGAAAAAAGAAAGCATTCAAGCCGAAACCGGTTTGGCTCAGTGGATAGAGCGTCAGCCTGCGGACTGAGGGGTCCCGGGTTCGATTCCGGTCAAGGGCATGTACCTGGGTTGTGGGCACATCCTCAGAAGGAGATGTGCAGGAGGCAGCTAATCGATGTTTCTCTCTCATCGATATTTCTAACTCTCTATCTCTCTCCCTTCCTCTCTGTAAAAAATCAATAAAATATATTAAAAAAAAAAAAAGAAAGCAAGCATTCAATACACTATATTACACAGTACAATGCTAGGCCAGCGATTTTCAACCTTTTTCATCTCAGTAACAAACTTAGCTAAAAAGACAGTCATGAGTTCCTT